TTCTGAAAATTAATCATCCACCCTGATGCTAGCCATAATTCAAACAAGGTTCAGTAGTTTACTGCATGATTTCCTATAGCCATTTAGTAGTTGGTTCATTAATTTAAGAATACAACAACCTGGTAGAGCGGATCTGTAGGCAGAGCAGATCTGTAATATAGAAAGCAAAAAAAAACAACGCAAATTCATTACACAGCCGGAATTCCTTTCATTTATTTGCAAATCTGTAAAAATTTTCAACTTGATACAAGCTGTACTAACACATATCAGAAACTTCCTCAAATAAACGTACATTCAATCTCACAAGATTTGGGGGTTTCTATCCTACACATACAGGAAAAGACATGAATACATTTTGGATGTCAGATCCGGCCGGGTGAGACTGTGGCAGCGGCGGGTTCCGGGGGGCTTACCGTGCTGGAGAGAGTCATCGTTGATGGAGGCGGGGTCTGGGGAGAGAGGCGGAGAGCACTATCACCGAGGCCCGGCGAGAGTGCGGGGAAACCCTAGCCGCACGGGGGTCAAACTACAAGACGACGAGCTGGGGCTCAGAGGCGGCCGGGTGAGAGGACGGAGGTGTGGGATTTGGGGTTTACCTTGCTGGGCGAAGGCGCCGTCGATGGAGGCGGGGTCGGGGAAGGAGACGGACGTCTCTGTCACCGCAGCCCTGGCGAGGAGGACGGCGTACAGAGGCGCCCGCGGCCGGATCTGGTGGCCACCGACGGGGCCCGGCGACGAGCGATGCTTGTGCGGGGAACCCTAGCCACCGACGGGAGACAGGAAAGGAGATAAAATGAGAGACGGCAACTCACGCTGCGGCTTATAACACCAGCCGTTCGGCTAGTGCTGGGCTTACGGCTGGGCTGATAAGCCCAGCACCAGCCAGCCTCTTAAATTAAAAATGGGCCGGGTACCTAGCTACAAATAGTCGTTGCTGCACGCATTGGCTTTTGATTATATTGCTGGTACGTGCTGTACATGTGAGGTCTATGTGATCCAAATCGTCCATGTAGTACCAGCTTAGCAAATCCGTTGGATAACTAATAACTAACCAACACGAATATATACAGGACGATGTCACATCTCAGCTCCATCCATCAATAGGAAGCTCGATAGGTACGGCTTTAAGCCGCACTGTTCTCTCGCTCTCGTCCTTTTGTTTTTTTTTGTTTTTGCATAGGAAGAAAATCAAGCAACAACATTTTAATTTGATGCAACAATAATAATATAATTCATACATAAACGTACTTGCTTGGTTAATACAATTATTATATATTGTACTGCTGATATAGTAAGTACTACTAATATCTTCATTTTACTGTCTTTACCACGTAACTACAACTAATTAATAGGTATCAAATCTATATATCAATATCTTATCTACATCTATCTATATCTATATCTATATCTACATGTATCTATTCCTATATCTTATACTATCTTATAATCATAAACCTCACTAGCTATTCTATCTCAAGCAATCCACCTTAGCAGTCCACTGTCATATGCATTTAATTGTTGCTATTAGTATGCCATGCCATCCACTTCAATTAATTTATAATAGTTTATTCATTCATATAAGTAATTTAGTCTAGTTTCATTCTAATTCATCCGCAATTCCCGCAGGAACACCTGGGCTATGCTTCTAGTTTTATGAATGGTACATACCTGGCTTTCAATGCACAATTGCACATATCGCAACATCAACCGCTAATGCTAATGCTACTACTATTTAGTTTTGTTTCTATTAATATTCTTTAGTTTTCAATAAAACTAGTGTAGTGTGTGTCATCGTCTTGAGGGGTGTATGTAGCTTGTGGGACTTTTGTTTTGTTATTTGTTGATCTCTTGTCTACTATATTAATATAAGTTAGGCAAAGCTTTGTGTTTAGCTTTCTTTACTAGATATCATGGACCAAACTTTACTCCTAAATATCCAAACAGATGTACTAAAAGTGTTTAGAACCCAGCTAGCAACTAGTTAATTAGTTAGCAAATGTGCACTTATGTTTATTTAATAGTAGTGGACTAGACTTTAGCTAGCCACGTACTCCCTCCATATTGGTAATTCAAGTCGTTTTGAACAGCAACACGGTCTCCAAAACATAACTTTGACTCTTTTATTTTTATAAAAATAATTTTTGGAAAGTGATATATATATATATATATATATATGAAAAATACTTTTCAAGACAAATCTATTTATATGGTTTTCACATTTCCAAACTCAATTTAAAGTTATTCATAATTTATATTCCCAATGTTTCCCCCAAACCTTGTCCAAAACGACTTGAATTACCAGTATGGAGGGAGTACACTTTACCCCAACTAAATTTTAGTCCACACAGATAAATTTTAGTTCTAGCTAGGTGATCCAAACATGCCTAGCTTACTGTCGGTGTTTCGAGTTGCCACCAACAAGTAAATTTGTATTATTACGGGTCTGGCCTGATGGTGTGCTAAGAGGACACAAGGTTTATACTGGTTCAGGCAGAATGTCCTTACGTCTAATTTGTTGCTGCTGCTTGTGTTACTAGCACTGAAAGTTCGTAGTAGGGGTTGCAAACGGTCGAGAGAGAGACTGGTCCCAAGTCTCTGGTGGTGTGTTGTGATGAGTTCCGATTGACTCGGGTCGAGTTGAGTTCGGATGCCGATGTGTCCAGTTTGGATCGATGGTCCGATACCCCCTAATGGGACGCCCTGCTTTCCCTTTTATAGGCCAAGGGAAAGCAGGGGTTACAGCCGAGGGAGAAGAGGAGAATCAGAAGGAGAAAGAAATCCCCCAGGATTGCCAGGTCCTTCTTCTCTTCTATGCGGGTCCCGCCGACCCTGTAGACGTCAACAGGGACAGCCTCACGTCGTGGCCTTGTCCGTCACTGGCGCCATGTGCAGGAGTCGTCTGTCGGTCATGGCGCTCCACTCCGTCCTGGCGGTCGTCGTGGTGAACTGACGCGCCCGTCAGTGTTCGTACGGGGGTTAGGCAGAACAGCACCGGTACGCCCAACGCTGTTCCTGACATGAACCCCCAGGTATGGCCCGTCGTGGGTCACAGGCTACATCGAGGCGTGCCAGTCTCTTTCCTGGCGCTAGAGCTTTGACCTAGACCCGTACGCTTGGACTTGAAGTGGTTGGCGGCAGTATGAGTCTTCGTCGGACAAGGCGGAGCCTTCAGCCTCGGGGTCGGGCGAGGCGGAGTCCTCCCCCAAAGGTCGGGCGAGGCAGAGCGCAGACCCAAGGGTCGGGCGAGGGGAGCCCACAGCCTTGGGGTCGGGCGAGGCGGAGTCCTCTCCCAGAGGCCGGGCGAGGCGGAGCGCGGACCCAAGGGTCGGGCGAGGCGGAGCTAGCCCTCGGAGGTCGGGCGAGGCGGAGCCGGCGGCCTCGGTGTCGGGCGAGGCGGAGCCCATCCCCAGAGGTCGGGCGAGACGGAGCCCGTCCTCGGAGGTCGGGCGAGGCGGAGTCCGCCCTTAGGGTCGGGCGAGGCGGAGCTACCCTCAGGGTCGGGCGAGGCGGAGCTACCCTCAGGGTCGGGCGAGGCAGAGCTACCCTCAGGGGTCGGACGAGGCGGAGTTCGCGCACCTGGGGGTCAGCAAGAGTTGTAGTCGCGCTCTTGACCGCTCGGATGAATCAACGTCGATGGTTATTAGCTCCTACTCTTCGGGTACCCTTGTATTGGTCCCCGACACTTACTATTAACAATAGTGTTTAGTAATGCTTGTGGACAGTGCTTTTTTCTTTTTGGTGCTGCATCTACCAATGGTTGTTACGCTGTTGAACCAAACAACAGTAGTCATACGCATTCAGACAATTTTCAGGCCGGCTAATAACTCCTCATCCTGATTACTGTACCCTCTCTTAATTCTAGCTTTATTATTACACTGCACACAACCTGTATTAGGCATCGGAACCACCGTTCATTCATAGCATGCAAATTTCTATCGTGTAGTACATGTGCAGGTGGTTACTTGTGCTACCTCCACAGTAACTTTTTTATTACTCGGGTCACACTCCCATATATATTTTTAGGTTCGTTAACCGTGTAAAAATGTACTGCACTGTACATTTGTATGCATGGGAATTCACTTCATACGTAGACTAGATCGAAGTAATAATTAATTAAGATCGTGTATAATATTCCGCCGTCCACTACTAGATGTTATTATTATTATTATATCATTTTGGGATTTCTGCTGTAGCTCTACTTCTGCTGCTGAGATGACATCAATCTTTGCTTACAAGTCGTCATCACAAAGCTTGCACTGCACTGCATTTGCAGTTTTGCATTATTTCTTACTGGGAATCCAACTGCATGCAAAGCGTGTCAACGAGCTTTCAGCCTGTTGCTCGGTGGTATTTAGCTTATAAATTATAGCTTATCAGTCAACGAATAATATTTTTCTCCCACATCAAACCAGTAACAGTAATTTCAGTTATGCCTTATAAGTCAAACAAGCACAAATAAACATGGCGTTAAATTCTATCGATCTCCAAGCATCTATATATATTCCAAAGGCTTATGTATAAAATATTATATTCTATTTCTATGCACCGGCCAGCTGTCTCAGAAAAACCATCCCATTTGATCGTCGTCCGATGCTATAAAAAATTGACCGAGTATATTTTGAGGGTCAAAATTTGAATCTTTCATGCATGTAAAAATCAAATCTTTTTTTGTATGTACTCCACAGATTAATTAAGCAGTTGTTTGATTTCTGAAGTGGCCCTCTTCAACTACCGAGCGAGCGAGCGAAGCAAGCAAGGCTAAGCACAAGCACAAATGAATGAGGTTAGCTAGCTGATGCATATGTATCAAGCTCTGCCTTTTAACTTGCCACCACTTTTCCTTCCATTTTAATTTCCCATTATTATTTATATATACACCATGGGCTTCTTCACCTCTCCCCTTCCTGAGCCTTGCCTTGCCTTGCTTTCCCCACACTGAAGCTTCTGACTTCTGACTTCTGAAAGCAGCGAGCAGCCTACCGCGAGAGAGAGGGGGCGCCATGGAGGTGGCCGTGGCGCTCGCCTTGCTCTTCTTCTGCGTCCTCCTCCTGGCCTCCGGCGCCATCGCCTTCCTCCTCATCCGCCACTGCCTCGCCGCCCTCCGCAGACGGCCCTCCGCCGACGCCGACCCGGAGGCGCGAGCACCAGCAGCAGCAGCGCCACGTCATCGTCAGCCACAACCAGCAGCAGCGGCGGCCAAGCCCAAGCAGCAGCAAGCGTTATTAATAGCCGTCAAGAAGGAGGCGCAGCAGCAGCAGCAGGCGCCGCGGCGTCTGGCGTGGCGGGAGGTGGAGGCGCTGACCGGCGGCTTCGACGAGGCCGCCGTGGTGGGCCGCGGCGGCTCCAGCACCGTCTACCTCGCCAGGCTCCTGGACGGCTCGCCCGTCGCCGTCAAGGTGCACTGCTGGTGCGGCGGCGAGCGCCGCCTGCGCGCCTTCCGCCAGGAGCTCGACCTGCTCCGCCGCCTCCGCCACCCCAACATCGTCGCGCTCCTCGCCTACTCCGACGACCACGGTGAGTTCATTCGCGCGTGCGCGCCTTGCTTCTCTTTTTTCCCATCTCGCTACACAGAAATCATTGAAGCTTTCACTTTCACTCCACGCTTACGCTACTTTGTTCTGCTCCAAACCAACTGTCCCTGTTCCTTGTTCTAACTTTATTCTTTTACGGTTTTTATTTTTTTATTAAATAGATAGATAGATAGATAGATAGATAGACCAATTCATACACCTTAAGTAAACATATAGTACCGATTATTTTGACATGAAACTTGCTTACATGTGGCAAATTATATTAGAAGGAGAAATAAGCTATTAGTAACTTGAATCTGATATGGCATGCATTGACTTTGTTTACACTTTACTTAATACAAGTCATGATTGAAGTCAAGCTTACACATTTCTTTATCAAAGTAGCGAGTAGCAACCAAGAAATGAAGGAGCTTTAGATTTTTCCTTCGGAAATGAAGGGGCTTTAATTTAGACTTTAGCAGCCTTTAGTCTCTAAATAATGCAGATAAATTATTACAAATTGCAAAAGAAATAAAAAAAAGGGTGCAGTGCGCGCGGGACATCACTTTACTCCCTACCTACCTAACGCCTAACGAGAGTCGAGAGCAACGGCTACACCGCTATGGCGCGTATATTCATTCATTTCTGTACGGCGACTCCCCACCTCCTCTCGTCAAACCTGCACTGCACTGCACTGCACTTCTTCAGCTTGGTCGTCGCTGTCGCCTGTTTTTTTTTTTCCCCCAATTCACTCTCTTTCACTTTCACTCCGCGGTGAAAACATGTAATGTAATCACCCATGGAGATGGAGACATGGAGTGGGAAACTAATGACTGTTACTGTAGAGGAAGAGGGCGCGCTGGTGCTGGAGTACCTCGCCGGCGGCACGCTAGCGGACGCGCTCCACGGCGCGGCGGCGGGCACCGCCCCGCTGTCGTGGGCGCAGCGCATGCGCATCCTCCACGACGTGGCGTGCGCGCTGGAGCACCTGCACGACGGCGGCGGCGGCGGCACCTCCACCGCCGTGGTGCACGGCGACGTGTCGGCGTCCAACGTGCTCCTCGACGGCGCCACCGGCGGCGGCGCGCGGCTCTGCGACCTGGGCTCCGCCTGCGAGGGCTTCTCGGCGGCGGTGGCACCGGCGCGCGCCACCATGGCCGTGGGGTCGCCGGGCTACGCCGACCCTTTCTTCCTCCGCACGGGCATCGTGTCCAGCAAGTCCGACGTCTACGACTTCGGCGTGCTCCTGCTCGAGGCCATCACGGGCCTGCCAGCGGCTGGCGGCGGAGCGGCGTCCGAGATCGAGAACCTGACGGCGCGGATCCTGCCACGCGTCAGGGCGCGCGGGGTGGCGGGGCTCGTCGACGCCAGGCTTGGAGAGGGTGGGTACGACGAGGAGGAGGCCGCCGACGTGGCCAGGCTCGCCGTGGAGTGCGTCGCGGCGCAGCCCGGGCTCCGGCCGTTGATGGCGCAGGTGCGCGCCGCCATCGCGGAGAAGGCGGCCAGGTCCATCGCCAAGGCGGGCTACGGCCACCATATCCAGCTCAGCAAGCTGCTGGAGCTCACATGATTTTGATGTTTTGAATTTATTTACTCTCCGTTTTATTAATTTCTTCGATCGCTCCTTCCATTGTGTTTAGAGCAGTTAAGACGTCTTAGCTTCGATGTGTCATGTGTGTGTGTGTGTTCTTGTAGCAAAAGTAAATTGTGCCTTTCATTGTCCTTGATGTTAGTATTAGGGTAGGATTTTAAGGAAATGGATTGTGCATTGTGCATTGGAGGGGGAGGAGGACTTGAGATTGATCCGAGTGAAATGTAAATATGGATGGAATGGATTTACCGTGCATTTTCTTTCCTGCATAAGAGTACAGTAGGGCGTGTTTGGTTTGCACCTCCTAAAGTTTAATCACCTTAACCAGCTCCTAAACTTTAATCACACCATGTTTGGTTTGGTGGACTAAAAGAGGCCTTTTATTCCCTTTTAGTAAGGGTGTTTAGCTCCAAAGTGATTAAAATGTGAGACAACCTGACTAAAAGGTGAGGTTTAGTCCTATTTAGCAACATTTGAGTGACTAGTTAGGTAAAACCCATTTAGTTCTATTTAGTCAAAGTGTTTGAATAAAAAGTGATTAAATAAGATTAAACGAGACTAGATTTAGGAGATGAAGAGTGAACCAGACAGCCCCTAAATTTGTTTGGCCCAGCCAGCAGCTCTCCACCGCGGCACCACCGAACAGACAAGATGATCTTTGTCTACAAACTCACACACTAGGAATCTAGGGGCCTGTTTAACAGACTAAAAGATGATCTGAAAAAGAAGATTCCCCATTGTCTACTTAAACTGACGAAATCAAAACACACTAGGAGTCAACGTTTGGACAATTATCTACAGTAAACACTGTAGCCACAGTGTGTCTGCCGGCGCCGACTTCGTCCGCAACTAAACGAGGGCTAGGATGCTAGCTACCTCAATGATTGAGTGATGATGTGCAGGCAGAGGCAAGGGAGCAAGTGAAGCATGCTCATCATCATCATTCAGGTTGTGGTCGAAGGCAGCGGCAGTTTTTGGAGGACCAGCCAGCTCATATTTGCAGCATATATACATATACACACTTATGATTGTTGGAAAGATTTGTTCCGTGTGTTAGCCGGAATGGATTCTCCAACACTGGTCCTGTCCTGCGGATGTTTTTGGTAATTTAGTGCGGGCTGTCATATGGCGAGGGAATTTCCTGGACCACACCATCCCAAAAAAAAAAAAAACTTGCAAAATACTACTCCTAGCACGGTAGCACCAATATTTGTTTTGGACTCGCAAGCTGCAACTGGAACAAGGATTGATCGTTAGCACAGGGTACGTGCTCATGGGATACTGTTAATGTCTTGAGACATAAATAAATAAATAAATCTAATATTCAAATAGTCAGCCTGTTCACTGGTTGGTTTCTAGACTAATAAGCCCAGCTGTTACTGATTTATCATGAGAGGAAAACACTGTTGACTGGCTGATAAGCCCTGACTGAAACCAACAAACGAACAGGCTGCGTTTCTGCACCACAAATTGCTTGCCACTTGATGCGACTGTCAGCAATACTACTCCTCTGCAGTCTGCACCAGTAGTTGCAGCACAAGACTGAAATGATGCTAATCATTCACACCAATCCCTGTATAAAGTACGTAGTAGCACATGACAACATCAAACCTTACAAGCCTCTGCTCCATTTATATGGAGCCCCCCATGTCTATTCACAACTTTAGACACATATATCCTATTTCAGCACCCCAAAGAATTTAAACAGAAGAAGCATGGTACAGCGCAAACTCACAGTTTTCATCTGAGGAAGAGGAAATATTGTTTCATCCGTCGTGTTGTGTGGAATATCAACTTCAATGTTACAGGGCCAATTACCAAAACAGAGAATTACAAGCAGGCAAAAATGTTAATACAGGTCAACGGGATTTACAAACCGATGGCGTCAGCTTTGCTCTGTCAATTTTCAATGTCAAAGGATTTACAAACCGATTGTTCCAGGAACATGGAAAATCCTTTAATACAGGTCAAAAGATTTACAAACCGAAGGTTCCAGGAACGACGATGCCTGTCAATTTTGATGTGGGCGATCCTGTCTGTTCTTTGCTCTCTTCATCTTTGCTTTGAACCTCAGTTTCAGTAGCAGTGTCTCCATAGTGTTGACAAAGTTGCCGACTGCCATAACCACCAGCAAGATCCCGCAGACTACAACCTGGAAAAAAACGAAAATGAGGTGTAAATTTCAGTTCAGAACAAGTGCCAAGTGGCATGTTTTTTTTTTCTCGAACAACGGGCATGTCAAGATCTATTCAAGACAGTTTGACCTATATCCCTCCACCACCACCCAGAATTTCAAATATTGGGAAAGGCAATAAATTCCAGACAGCAATAAATTCAATCAAGGGCCTAGACAATTTAATCCTATCTGACATTCAACTGTAAATAGTGAAACTGTTAAAATCATTCTTGCCTGCCATTCGGAGGCAAGCCCATGCAAAGCTGTCTGAAGAAGCAAAACTCCAACATATGCTTCAAAACCCTGAAAACATGGAGCATCAGGACCAGGTGCGTCAGTGCAGCAAACAGATGATATTAGTCCAATTAGACAGGATTTATGCATGAAGGTGTTAGAGTACGTCAGGGGCCTATTGGGCCTGGGTTGACTATATAGCCCATCAGTGTTAGGGTTAATTAGAGATAAGGGTCGCTTACTTAAGGGTCAAGTAAGCCTTGCTTGGGAGTCATATATAAGGAGATGAGATGTATCGATCTAATCAAGCAAGAATTAAGAAGGAAACCCTTCCCTTTTGCCCGGCCGTGGGCAAATGCCCCGCGGCCGGCTCTCTCACCCTCGCAGCCCTAGCCGTGAACAGCACCGCGGGTACTGTAGCGCGTCAGCCGCCGTCGCTCCCCTCGCGTCTCCCTCTCAATCCTCCAGCCACATAACAGAAGGACCAACAACTTATTCTGGAGGGTTCAAGATGAGTGGCAACTCAGTTCAAGAGAAAAACCAGGACCTGCCATAATTCAAATTGTGCAGACAACATACCTGTAATATGAAAAGCACAGGATATAGCAGCAACAGCTGCCCCTCCACGCCAGCTGTTTCTCCAGCGACGACATCCATTCTTTTAGCCTGCAAGGAGTTAATTGGGAGAGATGTTAGGTTAACCTTAAAAAGTATTAGATAATGATGTGACACAATACTGATTCACAGGTTCACATTCTACCAATAAGCTCTGCCCACAAGATTTCTTTTAAGATAAATTCACTGACTGTTTCTTTTTGAGAGTACTAAATCAGAGAAACATTGATTATCTTGAGTTGTCCTTTGTAAGCACCTAGTGAAGATCTCCAAGCATCTAGTTTCATCATATACAAATTTCCACTATGACGCTAATGGAAATGGAGAATGTTCCTTGGTTTGAAAAATGTTTCATCATATACAAGGACCTTTTTGTAATTCTAGTTAGGATCATGTGTGGAATACTTATGTGAGATTCGCTTATCCTATGTATTGAAATTATAAGTTTCCAATGCCACAGAGGTTAGTTAGTTTCTTAAATTCAAACAAGACCTTACCTTTCCTAGAGCTATTCGAGTACGCAATCTTTGGCGCTGGTATCTATTCTGTAGATGCATTGCAATGCCTTGCATGATTGCCCAACGCAAGAAAAGTTGCACCCCCCTCTGCAAAAAGATTATTGTTTGAGTGCAACATTAGGAAATTTCCCAAGCGATGCCTGCATCAGTGCTTCTTCCCAGAAAAAAAAAAAGAGAGCATATACCTGCTTGCTAGAACAATCAGGTTGTCCCTTTATCTCCCATGTAAGGCTAATAAGAGCCATCAGCATTGCGAGATAGTGGTGATATATCCACCTGAAAATGTAGCAGCGAATCATGATAGAGAAAGCATGCATTGGAAAAGAAATTTAACCAGAGAATAAACTAAACACGGTCAACAAATTATTTGAATTGAGAAACATTTAACCAGCTATGTTTTATAAATGGACATTTGCAACTAACCTTAAATGCTGCAGTTAAAAATTTAAATATCTCAAGCAGTGAAACTTTGGGAGTGATGATCCCTTACCATGGACGAATGTCACTTCCATTCGCAATTAATACATTCTCACGCAAAGCAAAGCTTGTGTACAGGTATAGTAACCAAGCCTGAGAAGCAGCAAGACATTATTTAGATAGTTCTTGTTGGACAATGCAGTGATCAGCACAGCGAAAATATTCAAGGAATATCACAGTATCGACAAAACACCTGATAAATTTGAACAGCCAATGCTGGAAGGCATCCATCCCATATCCACCATCTCAGTAGTAGGAGGATAGATGGAAACAACAGAAACTTATAGGCAGTCCTATCCTGCCAATAGAACAGGTTAAAACATCAACACCGTTGGTGTGAGGCGTCCTTATAGTTTACAAGATGAAATATCAGTTCAGCCCAAAGATCTAAGGATTACTTGGATTCAAAATCCCAAAAGTATATTTTTTACACAACATTACAATGCATTTACCAGCATACAGCCCAGTATTATGTGTTTCTGTACTAGCTAGAGGTTTATAAAATATAACTGCATCACACAAAACAGGCTAGATGTTTCATTAGAAGAACTTACTGAATTAGTCATGTTTTACCCTAATGATTTCAGCTCCTCCTAAAATTTTTTTGTACACAGTGGCAGATTAAAGGTGACATATATTATACAAGTTTCATCATAATGCTTACTATCATTGGAACCAATGACAAATCACAATACTGCGCTTTCAGTTCTTGATATCATATGTGACCCCCCCCCCCCCCACCCACAAACAAAAAAGTATTTCCGAACGACATTGAAGAAGTATCTTAAGCATACCCTATAATTGTTATACTCATCCTTGATTTTGAGCTTATCTTCCTTCCTCGCCACCCGCACATTCACAGGGCCTAGAAACGTCTTTAGAAACTTCCCTGCATGTTCACACGATAGTACATCAAAATTAACAAATCATGATCCATCGATGACAATTAAACTTGAACCCAGAGCAAAACAGGGTAGGGTATTATATATGAAAGAGAACATATCTAACCATTTCTCTTGCTGGGAAGAAACGAAGCCACATCACTATCCGTGATTGCGACCCTGGCACGCTCCAGTTCCTCCTCGACCTGCATCAAGTATAAATCTGAAATGTCACATTTCGAACAAGAGCAGATGGCCCCTTATGTCATTTTAAACCTATTGTGCTTGCAAGGACGTGCAGGGCGCTAATCCATAAGAAGATGCTTAGAGTTTTACAATATGTGATGTTTCTGTAGCACACAACAATGTCCTTAGGCCAATGCGTTGATATAATCTAACTGTCCTTACCAGGCTACCACGCTGCACTACATGTAACAACTTGCATGATCCAAAGCCATGTAAACTTCCAAACCAAAACGAACGAAGAACCAAAGCCAGCATGCGCACAACCATTTGATTCATTAGGTTGAATTCGGATTTCAGGCTGGCATCTATACAAGTCGTGTTATTAACAGATTTTCTCATAGCTTGTGAGACACAGACAGACGACAAGCTGACAGAATTGGATGGAACCTTATCCTGGAACATCCGGCACAGTAGTGGGGGCGTAACCATTCCAGGTCGAGCAATCATAAAAAATGCGGACAAAACAAGGCAATCTAATTAATCCAGCAGTCGGGCATCTCCATGCCACGCCCATGCATGAGACGGTGAGATGGGGAGCAAAAGATGGGATCGCGGCGAAAGTTTTGATGAAATCCCCGCCGCAGGGCATCAATCCGCGTCGGCAAGCTAATCGCGATATGAGATACGGGAGGAGGAACCGCGCTTTCATCAGACCTGAAGGAGGCAGAGGGCAGGAGGAGAGGTGGAGGAGGCAGAGCCTGGCAGGAGGAGAGGTGGAGGAAGAGAAGGCGAGGCGAGGAGGACCTTGTCGAGCGTGGAGGGATCGAGGGCGTGGAGCTCGCCCTGGAGGCGGCGGACGTCGGCGTCGAGCGCCACGGCGCGGCGGCGCAGCGCGTCCTCCTCGGCGGCGCGGGTGGCGACGAGGGCCGCGGCCGCCTCCCGCAGCTCCCGCGCTGCCTCGGCCGCGGCGGCGGCCGCCGCCGCCTCGAGGCCGCGCGCATCGCCGTCGCCTGACATTGGCTGGCGCGGGCGGTGAAGCGGCGGGGCCCTGCCCTGCGCTGCGAGGCGTGCGGGCAGAGGACGATTCGAGCGAGCGAGCGTGCGGCGGAGGAAGAGCAGAGACCAGGGGTTGGATTGGAAATTGGATTTGGATTTCGGTTTTGTGGAATGGAAGCCCTTCTCTGTGCGGCTGCCTGTGCCTTACACGTCACCCTCACTTTGTCAAAACTGGTGGGTGGGCCAGCCCAAAGGAAATAAAGTTACTCTCCCTTTTTTTTCTTTTATTAGTATTTTCATTTTATTATTCATTATCGATCAATTCAGGAAAGCATATTATCTGCAAGTAATCGCTGCCACGTTGGACTAGGATTTCAGTTGTTGACCCTTGCAAATCGTAAACCAGAAGCACCTGGCTACAAAACCAATTCGCATCCGCTGCCTGCCGTGCTTACCAAAAAATATTGACAAAATCCTTTTCAAAGAACGGAAATGACAAATTACTAGTTGACAACCATTACTGTTACCTTATCACGCTGTTGACCGGTCATAACTTGCAGGGATTACTTTAGTCTATATACAATCTGGAGTAATCCTATTCCTTGGGCGGAAAAAAAAAAACGGCCAACAAGTGTAGCAGTCACAAAATGAAGTACTCCTCCCGTCCTAAATTATAAGTCATTTTAATTTTTTTAAATCAAAACATCTTAAGTTCGACTAAATTTATGTAATAAAATAATAATATTTGTGATGCCAAATAAGTATAATTAGATTCTTCGTTAATTATATTTTCATATATCTTTATAATTCTCTCTATAATTTTGGTTAAACTTGAAATACCTTGACTCTCCAAGAAAATTAGAATGACTTATAATTTGGAATAGAGGGAGTAGAGTAGAGCAAATACACATAGCATTAACAAAGTTTGTACTCAAGACGTGCAACTATATTTATTGGAGAAAACTCAGAAAAGGAATGGCTCAACACCCAGCAAGCAACAAACAGAGTGCAATTACAGGTAACAGATGCACGTAGCATTCGAACAAACATTTTCATCTGTGACGCATGACACGACAGATAGCCGCCACCAAAACCACCTTCATGGCTTCCTATGTTAAGTTTCGTCCAATCCAATTGAAGCGCAGTTTATCAAGGAATACTATCCAAAATTATGCAATATTTTAGGAATACATAACCTACAAAATTCGCTGTTAATCTATCATGTGTATCCGATGAGCTGACGACTTTCACAGAAATCGGCTTGCTTTAGGAACCCGATCCTGCTGTAACTGAAAGCAGCTTCAACCATTTCCAGATTCCAACTCCACGCAGAATATAACCCTTGAGTCAATATTCTAGTCAACTGAGCTGACTGCGCGGCATCAGATGCATAACAAAAGATTAGCCGCAGGATGTTATATGCACAAATACTTGATTCTCCGCTTGAACACAAGTGACTGTACTGGGCTCTCGTAACTTAGCCACATAAGACAGCAACATCAAGTTCTGTTTCGTTTACCTACACCACAGATTCAGAATTTCAGATGCACGCACCGTCAACTGGCAGGTTCAGTATATAAGCAGTCAGGATTCTTCAAAGGTCCTCCAAACAATAGCAGATTGTCTGCAGAATCAATCAGGCCGGGCAAACAACAGTTAAGCAGCAAGCTTGACTTGGCATTTGGCATGAGTCAAGCACGTCGACTAAGCCGCAATTGTCATTTATGTCTTGAACTGCATTCAATTTTCTGGTTTAAAAAAAAAGGCATGAGAGGGTAGCGTCAACTGTAAAATATTCAAGATGCTGAGCAAATGTCGACTAAGACAAAGAATTTTCATGTATTTCTTCGAAACATACAGACACAGGGAAAAAATATATCATACTTTCTGCAAGGCCATCCTTGCTGTGCCATTCGTACAGCGCACAGTTTGACAATGTATTAGATGTTCTTGTTTCTTCAACCAGGGGAAGAGTGCCCTGTGTGCAAAACACATATAATCCTCATCCTGTTTTCTGTTGAACCATTAAGAAATTCGGAGAAACTTGCTTCAGAACATCAGGGTAATACAGCACAAATACAGCATTGAGCTAAGTCAAAGTAACTGATGAAAGCATCAATAAAACAGTGGTATGAAAACCAATAATTAGTTAGCCACAATTTCTCATAATTGAATTGTTCATTTTGTTTTTGTTGCATATCTGAACAATGGATAACAAGATGAGCAGTGATCTAAATTACCCAGTGCGTCTTTACAGTTGACATTAAAGATATGAAGGCACGCCGAATCGGCGGCCTTCTAGGCTGTCAACGTCAGTTCTTTTAATTTAGTGCGTTGGATCGAGATTCCACGGCTCACATAAAACGCGTCTCGACCGGCCAGGTGAGGTAGTACCAGGTGACATGCATGGCCGGTGCCTAATTCATGCTGCTGGGGCCGTGCTCGCTTTGCATGCATGCATCATTTATCACTTGTCGATTTGTGTGCGCCCTGGCCCCCATCCCGTCCTCATTTCCGGTCCTCATCCCATCCCCATCCCCATCTCCATTTCTGAGCCGCCTACGCGGGCCGCAGAGCTCGGCGCGACACGCGACCGCGTCTGCCGACCAACCATCTGCGGCCATGAGCATGGCCGGGGAGACCGGCGGAGCCCGCCCCATCGCTCGGGTCGGGTCGGGAGGCGGGAGCCGAGCACGAAGCAGCGGTGGTGGCGCGGAGCCCGGGCGTGGTCGGGCCCGCTGTCCGAAAGTGGCGGAGGCCGCCGCCCAGAAGCAGCTCCTCCTCTCTCCTCCCTTGAGGTCCCCTGCCCTGTTCCGTCGGGGTGTGGTTCATTTCGGTCTCCACCGCTCGTCGTCATCGTCGTCCGCGTCCGCGTCCATGAAGCGGAGGAGAGGGACGCGCTTGGCTGGCGGGTGACGCCGGGGCCAAGAAGCCGCCTTGTAAGTCAGCTCACCCCCTAGTCCGTGCCCTCCGCCATGCGTGATGATGTTGATGGTCGTGGTTCATGGCGGCGGCGGTCCGGGCACGCCGGGACGAAGACCTCTGCTGGCTGGTCTGATGCAGTGGCGGTGGCTACGCCAATGCCAGGAGGGAGCACCGGCCGTCGTTCCAGAGCTCCGTCTTCTCCATCGAGGAGATCCTCACCGCCACCAACAACTTCTCTGGCGCTCAAGATCGGGCGGGCGGCCGCGCCGCCGTCTACAAGGTGATTTCTGAGCCGTTTCACAGCGCCGCCCCTTCCCCAGGGTTCCCCTTCCTCCACCCCCAATCGGCGTCAAGGATCTTCGGCCTCATCGGCTCATCCTGATCTTGGTCGCGTCCCAAATGGAGCGATCATCTCCTCCTCCCACGAGCATTTCGTCTAAGATCCGGCCTCGACAATCGCAGATCCTGTCGCCATGACGGAGCATATCGAGGTGTCTACCAAAGACCACCGCTATGTGCGTGAGTCCCCTCCCCCCAGCGCCTGGATCTCGCTGTCCCTAGGTCGATAATCTGCTTCTACCCATGCCCCCTTGCTTGTAGGCATCCTCGGTGAGGTGGTGGCCCTGAGTCCTCTCTCTCATTTCCACATCCGGCTGGTATCCTTCAACAAGGTACGGGCGTCATCTCTACCCCATCTGATTTCTTCCCGTTCTCTATGGTTGCAGCCGTGCTGGAGGACAACTCGTGATGTGGAACCGTGGCACGACAGCCTCACACAACACATGTGTGGGTAACCAAAGAAGCGATAAGCTATACCCATTTTGTTTTCTAATCCGGCTCCCCAAATTGGAGATTTGTACAGCCTGTCAGAGGTGCTCGGGCCTACAATTGTTGTGCTGGGTTACCAGCATCCTCCAAGGGTTCCTTAACATAATAACATTTCTGTCGAACATGTAGTGAGGTGAGCTATTCTTTGAATTTCTAGAATTAAGAATAGAAAACCGCTTGGTTTTGATAAAAAAAAATCATGTGTTCTATGCCTTAGGTTCGGATACGTCAGATTTTCAACATGCCATTCATGGTTATGCAATAGTTGGTTCTTCATACATTCTTACATGCAGATGGAAATATATTTACGGCCCTCTGAAAAGACCTACTTTTACACCCTAATCTTCTTCTATTCAAAAGTCTTTGGTTCTCAATTCAATGTAGGTATCTGCTTCATGCCGTGAGGTTGATGGGTTCATTTTGTTCCTTATTATTTGATTTTGTATTCAATGCGTCTTTGGTCAATATTTCCTGAGCATTTGAGACTGAGGAATGCAATTCCCATATATTACGGGGCAAAATGAATCTAGCTTTTGCTTGTTGGGTTCACTGTCTAAGACTGTGGCTTATATCTCAGAAATTTAGTAGCATGTGATCTGTCTCTTTCTGAGATCAGTACATATGTTAGAGATCCATCAGACGACGCTATACCTGCATAATGATTAATATTAGGCATGGACCAGGTAGGCATACTTCCTACTAAGTAAACACATTAAAGGGTCTAGAAAAGTTCAGCTGGAGCTAACACTGTAAAAAAAAAACTCAGGCAAATAACATGCGCCGATACTGTTTTCTATATCCAATAAGGAAATTTTGTTGGTTAATTTCCAGGTCACTCCTACCTGCAGGAAAAAGGGACTGTGTCTATACAATGCTAGTAGCCAAAGCCTGAGGTTAGTCTCATTGCTTCATACAGCTGTTGTGTGCTTGATGGTTACCTTGCTCATTTTGTTTGGTTGGAGTATTACATGGTCCGAGCGTATGTTCTTAGCGTTCTTTAGGTGGCCACCTTAATTTTGTCTGGTACCTTACGATTTGTGTAGTTCTGACTTGTAATCCAGTGAGGTGGATTAATATGTGGCTTATTTAATACAGTTAGGCGGATTAGATTTGTCTTACAATTGAATGTTAAGCTAGTTGTATAGCTTCAGATGGTTAGATGGAGCTTGTGCGCGTCTCTTAGGTATTCTGCGAACTGCATTGTATTAGTGGTGATTGGTGTTTCTTATAGCCCTATCCAGAAGACGAGGTTGTATTTTGATTGGTGT